CAGCTGTATCTCAGTTATATAGAAGGAATTGCCCCCTCTCTGTAGTGTGTACTTCATATAATCTGCTTGTGGAGTAAAGCTGAGTTAACAGCATTTGTATCCCTGCACAGGATACAATACTCTGTGTAATGTGTCTTCACTATAACTTGCTTGGAGAAGGTTGCTATCCGGTGTGTCTTGTGCCAAGAAGTCATGCTGCTCTACCATTCCCCAGGCTGCTTCTTCACTTCCTGGCCATAGGCCTAATGCAGAGTTCCAATCCTACTGAACTTGTTCCCTAAACATCCTATTCCCATCTTTCTCTTTCTCCCTGAAGGTTGTCATAGTTGTCTGTTAAAAAGATCACTGAATTAAAAGTGAAAGAGTTAAAAAGATCTCCCTTCTTTATTTTTCTGTAATACTTATCATTATCCAACATAACAAATATTTACCCATGATTTGCCTGTTTCCCCTCACTAGGAGGTATGCCCCATGATTCAGGACTTTTTGTCTGTTTTATTCACTGTGGTAATCCTCATGCTTAGACAGTGCTTAACACATAGTGTAGGTGCTTAATAAATATCTTTTGATGGATTCTGTATATTCAAGATTATATCATGCATAGGGTTTAATGCAATTTTGCATTCAAATTGCTGAACAGATTTCTCAAAGTTAAAAAAAAACCCACTACTTTGGAACAGAATAGACATGTGGAAGAAATGAGGTACAGAATTAGGGAATTTAGACTGGAATACCACTGAAGAGGGAACACTTGGATACAGTGTGATGAGTCATAAGAAATACAGGTGCTGGGAGGCTGAATCAGCCAATGGCCAATAATTTAGTCAATCATAACTGTGCAATGAAGCCTTCAGAAAAAGCTGAGAAAATTCTACCCCTCTCTTGGATCCTGCTTTTCTGTGGGAGACAGCTTCTATGATGGGGAACCAGAATGCCTCCAAGCTCCAAGCCAGGCGCCAAGCTCCAAGGGGACAGATGCTCCTTTATATGGGACCTTGCCCTGTGTATCTCTTCATCCGGCTGTTAACTTATATCCTTTATTAAACTGGTAAAGGTAAGTGTTTTCCTGAGTTCTGTGAGCCTCTCTAGCAAATTAATTGAACCTAATGGGGAGATCATTGGAACCTCCAGTCTGTAGCTGGTAGGTCAGAAGCACAAGTTAACAGCCTGGGGCTTGTGACGGGTGTCTGCAATGGGGATGGAGGGCAGTCTTTAGGACAAAGCCCTTAACCTGGGGAATCTGGTGCTGTCTCTGGGCAAATAGCATCAGAATTGAGTTGAGTTCTCCAATACCCTGCTAGTGTTTGAGAATTGCTTGGTCTTATGTATGGGAAGAATATCTCTCACATACTTACACACATTGGAATTGGGTCCAGCAACCTGAATGGAGTTATACTACTATTACTACTCTGTATAATACTATTACTGTTGTTGTATATATATGTAGGAAAAGACACTATAGTAGGTAGGTATAGCTAAAGATCACACATGTGATTGGGGCCTTGGTGTCCAGAAATAATTGCCCTGAATAATTTCTGAGAGTTTATGTCATCCCTGATCTGCTTGGCTTCACCTGCACTGGGGCTTAGCCACTTGGCATGCTTCCTTACCAGAGAGGTATTACGAGATGATAGCAGAGTCAAGGGCCTGATAAACATGAGGAGGGGGTAAGGCAACCTCCTGGGGGTGACGACTGGGCTGCAACAGCATTTTCAGGAACCTAGTGTCACGTCCTGGACCCACATAGGCTCTGGCTACCCTGGGGCTTCTTGGAGAAGCCAGGTAACACAACTCAGAAATACATGGGAGGTGAATTGTTTGCCCTTCTTTTCTGTCTTCCAACAGATTGTTCTGAGATGTCCCATGTGGCCAAGAATTTTGCCTCTTTGAGAAGCTGTGGCCCTTTCCTTCTTATTCTTCCTTCCCTGGAATTGCACTCATCTCCTCTCTTCATCCACCCCCCACACACAAAGAAAATGAGCTCTCTAAGCTTTGTCTCAGGCTTTGTTTTCTAGAAAACTCAGGCTAAGACACAGAGAAGAGGGAGAAGTTGTCACAATTCAATTTCAGAAAGATTACACTAACCCATAGACATACTTTAGAATTCAAACCCTTCTCTCACGTGTCTTACTGCAAAGAAGTATGTTTCTACTGCAAAACAGTTAAAATATTAATGTCTAAAAAGTAAATAAGCATAAGATGAAAAAATGGTAGAACTTCAAGTTAAGACTGAAAGATATGGAGATGAGTTATTGTGGTTAAAAAGATCTAGAATTCATTCATCATTTCATTCATTCATTGAACAAAGAGTATAAAGCACTATCATAATACTGGAGACACTACAGCAAACAAGAAATAGGGGTCCTTCTGCAAGGAGCTTAAATACTACTGGAGGTGACAGATAATAAACAAACCAGAAATATTTAATATAATATCAAATGTAATAAATAATACAAAGACAAATAAAGTGAAGGGGATAGAGAGTGGTGAAATACTCTTTTAGATAGCATAATGGGAAAGGCCTCTCAATGAAAGAAACCTAAGCAAAGACCTAATGAAATAAGAGAAGTATCCCCGGGAAAGTCTAAGGACTACATTCAACTATGCGTGTTCATAGGTTGGTTGGGTTGGTAGATTAGCTTCAAACTAAGACTAAATAAATGGAGCAAGGGAAGGAGAAAAGCATTTGCTTTTCTTTTTTTATCTAAAAATTATTGAAAAGCCTCTTTCCTCATGTTTTGAATTAATCAACTTGGAAGTTGAAGATACTTCCTCCTTCTTAAACGCAAGATTGTTTCTCATCTTATTCTAACCCCACACTTCGCCTGGTATGATTGCTATTTATTCATGCATCTCATGTACATGTAATATGGTATACACTTTGAAAGCAAAATTTATATATTTTCAGCATTGCATTCCCTGAAATATCTAGCATAGTGCCTGTCACTGATATGCAAATGTTTGCTGAATTAAAATTTTTATTTTTATTAACATAGGTACTTTTTGGAAAATATCATTTGACTCCCTAAAAATCATAAACCACAAATAAGTGTTTAGTTTAGCCTATATGAAACTATATTTATGCATACACTGAGTCTTAAAAAGTAAAATTTCTGGTCTTGGACAAGTTCATGTAACCTCTCTGGGCCTTAGTGTATAGCAGATAGGAATAACAATTCTTATTGATAGTACTTTTTGGTGCAAGAATTTTTAAAAGAACATATATCATCTGGTATAGGAACCAGACACATGATAGTATTTAATAAAGTGTTGGTCATTCAATCAAGAAATTTGAAATTTTCAAGGTTAATCTAAAACCAGGTTATTTGATTATATAAAAAGTGCCCTAGTTATTTGTTAACAGCATTTGTTGTTAGTTATTTCCTATAAGGAAACCATGATAAGGATCCCAAGATCCTTTCTTTAATCAGCTTACGATAATTTACATGTAACAAAATTAATCTATTTTCAACATACAGTCTTTGACAAATGCACCACCACAATCAATATGTAGAACATTGACATCACTGTAAAATGTTCCCTTACACCCCCTTTGCAGGCAATTCCATCCTTCCATCCCTGAGATCTGTCAACCACTGATTTGTTTTCTGCAAAACTTACTTTTATTTATTACACAAATATTTATGAGGGAAGTCCTTGAGCTAGCTACCTTAGAGACTACAAAGATAAGTAAGACATTGTTTGTATCCTGCTCAAAAAACTAGCCTAATTGTGTGTAATTTTGAGATAACTTGTCTACAAATAATATGGGACTGAATTTCAATATGAATGATGCCCATTAAAGAGGAATAGGAAGAAAAATGTTGCAAATGATTTGCAACTTTTAAAATACTGAACAAAATCCTGTATCTTCATGAATTCTACTAATGGTGAAATCCTTTAAAAGGCACAAATTTGTGTTTGCATGATGTTCCACAAAATTACCAAAAAGTAGGAAAGTGCAGAAACCCTAAGTGTGCAGCTCCATCTTCCCAGGTTATTTAATGTCAACCTAGACCAGCTCTCTGGCCAATACAGTGAAAAGGCAACATCCTAAAGCCTTTTGGTTTAGATAGAATAATTACATCATTGAAAGAAAAAAAAGAGAGACAAGAGAATAATGTTCTGCAAAGGCTCACAAAGAATTGTGAGGATCAGTAGTGAGAAATTGTATGGCACATTAAAATTCATGAGGAAATGCCAGTTAAGTTCCATGCATAACAAAGTGATTACTATGCAGGATCAGGTTTTTCTTTCATTATTACAGAAAGACACAAAATCATTATCATGATCTGCCATGTGTTTTTCCTTTGTTATTAGATGCTGGGACAGGCCTATTAAATGTTTAGCGTTACCCAGGGGAACAGTCACAGTGGCGAGTAACGGTGGTTGCAGTGCATGTGGCTTTCTATGGTTCTAATTTTAAGTGCATTTAGACCAGAGGAAAGGAACAAATTAAAAAGAAGGGCAGACGGCTTGGGGGTCATTTTCTCATGATTACAAAGACCTGAGTCTATTCTTCACATTACTGCCCCTTGCTTCATGCCTTACACCTGCTGATTCCAGAATAGACAAAGCTTGTCTCTGCATTTGGAGACTCTGGTCAATACAATGCGGATAACAGTTCATTTCAAACGGGGTAATACATGCGAGTTGATAAAGGGTACTAACATCAGGAGAAAAAACAAAAAGAATCTATAAACATTTGTATAGTGGGGTCAAAATATACCCCCACTGTAATTCTAACGTGCAAAGGAAATAGTGCCCTTTATTTTATTTGATGGACCTAATTTTCCTTGCAAGCTTCCATAGTGGGAGGGGAAAAAAGCCCTAAAAAAAAACCCCTGAACTTCAAGCTTGTCAATTCAAGGTAACAATCTCTTTCAGTCTAAATAAATAGTCACTTGTGAATAATACATTTTCTTCTGGGTAGGTGGAAAATCTTTCATATTTCTTCTCCCTTAACCTTGCTTCCCTTCAACATAGTGTCTGGCTGTATGGAAGGATTTGTGGCTGCATAGGGGTTGGGAGAGGAAGGGCCTCAGATCCCTTTGGGGTCTCAGGATGCAAATTTGTTCCTGTGGCAGTATGGCATCTCTGTGGACTGGTGGCCATTGAGGGCCCCTTTGAGATGCAGCAAGACTTACCTGGCCTTTGGGCAGTGTGTTGATATCATCATGGGTCTGGGGTTTAGGTCATTTGCCCTACACACTGCAGCATCTTAGCTTCTACTGGACTCTTCACCACTTCTGTGGTCCATCACCAGCATTCCCAGTAGGCCACACAGGAGCCAGGACCACTGCATCAGGCTCAATCGCCACTTCTACTTCTCTCTGTCACTGCTGAGCAGTCTCCATATTGGATGTGGCACCAAGTCATAGAGAAGCAGGGCATGAACCCTGTCACCTTCAGCTTTCTCCTCATGCCATTTAATGGACCTTCCTCCTCTAGAAGTTGCCCTGGGGAAGAGCACGCAAGACGCAGGAGTCAAACTTCTTTTTCCCCTTTCAGGGCCCCCTTCACCTTCTACTCCCTCTCTCTCTGAAGAGGCTTTCTCTATATCCTCTTGCTTCACTAGAAGAAGGAGGGTACTGCATGGCTCCATCTTAATGGCAGACAGAGCATCTTTTCTGCACTATGGAAGAGACCCTTCAGAGTGAATCCTGACAGGGTAAGTTGTCTTCTCTGAAAGACAACTGAGAACTTGGGTTTACAAAATGCTTATTTATTTTCCCCAAATATTGCTCCAGTTTATTTTTGAGGGAGTATGGCAAATGTTCCCTAAGTACATATGTTATATGTAGTGCTTAAAAAAATTATGACCATCAAGAAGAGAAAAATGAAATTTGTGCTTTCATATTTTAGGCTGCTCCTTGAGGCTCTTTATGAAAATAGAATTTCAGACTTTCAAAAATTCCTATTGGAAGCTTGAGATGGGTTATGTTGGAGAAGAGTGCATTCCAGTTCTCATTTAGAGGACTTTAATCCCATTTCTTTTTTATTTGGCCCCTTCCTCTATTCTCTGTCTTCTCTTGCATGAGAAGATTTATCCAATTCTCCCAATGACAAAAGACCCACATTGCCTTGAACCTATAGATAGAGAAACAAAAACACGGAAGCACCAGAGCTCCTACAGGAAGGGTATACCTTTTGTATGCTTCTATTTCTTTAAAAAATACTGAACATCATTGAAGGGACTGCTTTTGATGCACCATAATACATAGAAATATAGTCTTGCATCTCAAGGATCTTCTACCTTCAACTTCTCTGCAGCAGTATAGAGGGTTTTAGTTAACCAGGGAAACATGTGGTATGGTACACTCCCTTTCCTATAAGCTGTGCTGTTTATAGTTGATGTGAAAAGACAACTTTTCAGTCTTCTTCAATGTCCTTACAAACAGTGATAAGATGTTTGTAAGTATTTAATTATTTGTTTGTACAAAGAGGCTTATTTATTGAGGTTTTTCTTTGAGATAATGTTTTGGGAGTTTTTAATATAGAGATAATATTTCAGATATACAGGAAAAAAGTATAGAAAATAACATGATAAACATCTATGTATCGAACAGCAGATCTTACCAAGTTGCCATGTATTTCCGATTTTTAAAAAAAAAAATAAAAATTATTAATAAAGTAGAAGCAACCCTCCCTCATTCCTTTCCCTACTTATCACAGGTATCCAGTCTCTACAACTTATAATGTGTCCCATGTTTCTATAATTTTACTACATAGGTATGTGTCCATAAGCAATGTTTTTTTTTGTATGTTTTAATTTTTATCTAAGTGGTATCATGTTGTAAGCATACTTTTGTAAGTTTACTGGTTAGAGTAGAATTTATTTCCACTATTTTGGTTTCTATTTAGTATGCTTTTTCTTCACTTCTTTTTTCTATACTTTCCTGAGTTATTGAGTTATTTTTCCACCACCTCTACTGGCTTGAACATTCTACAGTAAGAAATATAAACCTTTATTTACGGATTAAGAAGGTAATCTCTGGTAAAGAGGTGGGGTTTCAGGTTTATTTACATAAAGCTTTATGTGATATAGGAAGAGTATTGAAAACAAAGCTTGCTATTTTCTTACAGACTTACACAATTTTGAAACCTCTTTACTGTAATTATGTAAGCTTTAAACATTTTTTGGGAGGTTGTTTTATCCATTTTTCCTTCGATACTTTGGTGAGAAGTTCATGGTTGTCAAGTGTATTTTCTTCATAGTGGTAAAATGAACAACTTGCTTCTCTTTTACATTTATAAAGATACATACTTTCCTTTTTTAAAACTACATACAACTTTCTATTTATTCATTCAATGTTTACCCTTAAATTTATAACATGCACACTCAACTGGGTCTTAGATATCAGCCTGTTTTGAACAATACACAATTTTAGATGATTCACTTCCCCATCAGTTATGTTATTATAATAATTTGATTTCAGTTCTTCAAAAACCCTCTCAACTTAGAAATATTTATCATTATTGCTTTTTAATGCTAAGTATTAATTTTGATATACCAGTCTTTTTACTATCTTTTCTCTTCACAATTGGTACTTTATCACCAGTCCTTTTTCCTGGATTTAATTTCCTTCATCTTGAAGTATATATTTGAGTATATTACAAGCAATAATTTATTACTAGTAAACTATTTCACTATTTGTCTGAAAAACATCTTGATTTCAGTTTCACTCCTGCATGACAGTTTGATACAGATTTCTTGATCTTTATCCCTTAACAATGTGGTGATGCCTACCATTCTACTGTCTTTTCTCAATTTTTGTTGATGAAAAATCTGCTGAAAATAAGAATTGTTCCTTTGTAAGAAATATTTTATATTTTGTTATTTTAAAGATTTCCTCTTTTTCCACTGTGTTTTGTGTTTCACTCTGGTCAGGTGTATGATTTTTACTTTTATGTATATGGAGCTCAGTGATTAGCTACTCAAATATTGCTTCTCTCCTATTCTGTCTATTCCATCATTCTGGAACTCCTTTAAACATGTGTTGGGTCTTCTCATTCTATCCTCTATATCTTTTAATTCCTCTTTCATATTTTCATCTCTTCATTGTTATATGCTACATTCTGGTGATTTCCTCGGCTCTGTCTTCTACTTCATTATTTTCTCTTGATTTCTTTATACTGTCTGTTGAGTTTTTAATATCAGTGAATTTTTTAATGTTCAATTTTATTATTTTTTCAAATTTGTCTATTTGGTTTTTTTTTTGGTATCATTAATCTACAATTACATGAAGAACATTATGCTTACTAGGCTCCCCACTTCACCAAGTCCCCCCGACATCCCCTTCACAGTCACTGTCTATCAGCGTAGTAAGATGCTGTAAAATCACTACTTGTCTTTTCTGTGCTGTAGAGCCC